TTGAAAAGTAACTATTCTGTGTGTCAAATGTATTTATCATATCATTGGTCCTATTCCGTCTTTGCATATTGCAGAGTTGTCTTCTCTTGTGAGCAGGTATTGATTGTTACGTCATCATGAAGTTTGTGTGAGAAAATTACGTTGTTTTCTCAAAAATTGATGACGTTACTCTCACAAAATAATGACGTAACAATCAATACCTGCTCACAAGAGAAGATAACTCTGCAATATACAAAGACGGAATATACATACTGTGATATATATATATATATGTATACACAACAGCAATAATGCTGAATCCACTTCAAATATAAAAAAATAGGATAAACTTTTAACAAAACCATCCATCAGAACAAACTAATAATATGTGTGGCAAACGAAAATAAACTGACGATTATTGGTGATAAGATATAAGGTCAAATTAAACAGCAGTTTCATTTTCTCTTTCTAGCAATGAGAAATTTAGGAAAGGTACAATTTCTGGAATCAAAATAGCTTCATTATAGAGTATCTTAAATCACAACTTTATAAAAACAAAGCATTGAAGTCATATGGTGCTTCTCAAAACATCAGCCTCTTAAACATTAGTGTCACGATATGCATTTTGCATGTGCACCAAAAAAACAAAGGCAATTATATAGGGAACACAGGATCTTAAGTTAATATATATCTCCCCCCTAGTGTGGGACGCAGGTGTTTCTCTGCATTGAAGGCTATTAACAGTCACTAATTTGTAGCGAAACAAGTTTCAAAATCTTTCAGTTTATGAATATTATTTCCAAGGAGTTCATATGTATATAATGTACATATGATCTCTTGAGAAATGCTAAAACCTACAAGGAATGGAATCATTACATTTTGGCTTGAATGTCACAAGTAGGTCATTAATATACAAAAAATAGAAGGCAAGAGGTGGTTTTCAATGATTTTCTGTCATTCTAGTCCAAAAAGGATTTTTTAGGTATATATTTTCTTATTTGTCTTGAATTGGCATTGAAATGGTGTGCAAGCAAATATATGACACAAAGGATATTTCTTTAACTCATTAACCTCTGAAATTTTATAATGAACTACACCAACCTCTGAATTGGAAGAGTTCAAATGTGTCTTCAGGGGTGAATGAGTTAAACATTGAATAAAAATTCAATTGACAAAACCTTTTGTTTTAATACTCAATAAATGTTACACTGGCATGTTATTTATTTTACATTTAAAATAAACAAAGAAGTATGCAGTAAGAATTTACATATATAATGAAATATGTGTGTGTAGACTTTGTGGCAGACAGCAGACTAAACTAACTCAAATATAACTGGACCGACTGATGAGTTCACTATAGCCGGCCCTAGACACAAACACAACATGGGGCATTACAAAATCTGTTTTTAGATTGATCCCAGGTTTGTTTAAAAAAAAAATATATAAATATATAAAATAACATAAATATAAAAGAAGAAAATAAAACTTTATATCACCAAACAAATTCTCACACACACCATTTATTATTATTTTTGATAAATAAAACAATTTAAGAACTAAATGTGATAAATATTCATAGATTTTAATTTTTTTTTTTCCCATTAAGAAACTAACCATACTTTTTAAGGCAAGTTTTTACAAATACAGTAGACAGACAGCTATAGCCACAGGTTTTAACAGACTGTGCTAAGCTTGGCACTGCGCCAAGGCGGTGTACATAGTAATGAATATAGGTTGTAAGCTGACTTACAACTACTAGCTCCTGTTGACAAGCAAGGCTGTCCTTTTTTAATAATCAAGACCAGTTCTCTTGGCTTTTAAAATTTCAAAAGGTAATGACAGGCCTGTAGTCCTTTTTCAAAAACATACACCATGTTCTCCTGCTTTAGAACTATAATGATTACGGTATATACTTTTAATATTTTTTTCTGAAATACATGTATATACAGCAACTGGAATGTTACTTAAAAAAAATATTTCTGCATGGGTATAAGAAAGAAAATCTCACAATAACGCTACAGCTTCTGAAATAAGATTTTGGCTAAAAATGAACACATCACTATATTTAATCCTGATCCCATTTTAGATAGCAATGTACATAACTGATGTGGAGTTTTGAGAAATGTTTTGAGAAATGTACACAAGCTAACCCAGGGTATGTGACAAGTGATAACTTTTTTTGTTTATGTATATCATGTTGTAGTATTGTTTTGAAGCGACTTTTATATCTCGGTCTAAAAAGGGGTGAATTAATTGTCTTTTTTACAAATTCCTTTGTCTGCACTTCTTCGCTTATATATATATTTACTTAATTAACATGTATCAAACTAGCATTTGTATGTTGTTAAATTGGTTCATGTTTGTCAAAGTCTTCTTTTTCATAAACCTGTCCAGCAAGATAAAATTATGCAAACCTGATACCCCAGGCACATACATTTTATAGCATGGTTTGTAAAACACGTTCAACTTTCTAAAATATAGGTTTGCCAAGGAGAATCTCCCTATGGGCCCAGGTACACGAGATATGAAATTGTCTGCACCACACCGTCTGTCAATACTAATACCCCATAATGGATCCAGACTAAATCTAGCTGAACAATGCCACCCCAGACAGATAAGGGACTACACAGAGGTCAGTGTATGTAATCCCCTAGGGACAGCATGGTGGTAGGGGCCAAACAGGGGTCAAACAGTTCAGGGTTATGTAACTCTGATCACTATTATGACATAAACCCCAGGTGACTGAGGCCAAATGATTGGGCAATGTTATATCACTATATCAATTAACAGTTAGGTGAATAATGTCCTCTGGCCTAGATCCTTTACTGGACTGGTGGGTATCATTGCAATAAGTGTGAATACAAGAAAATACATTTGTTATGGTGATGTAATATTGTTTTATCATCAAAAATATTTATTTAAATAGTTTTCAATCCATGTTTTTGACAGCATTGATTTGAAAAGGACTGTTTGAAGTTAATGAACATATTAATTTCAAAATTATCACTTGCATTAAAATTGAAAATGTTGTATCTTTTTGTGTATTTACATTATATTTGTTTATTACAATTTGTGGAGAGGGCCAAAATTATGTTGAAATTACTTGTGCCCAATCAATTTGCTGTACTTTTGACAACAAAATATGTTCAAATAAAAAAATGTGAATTTCACTCTCAACGTTTTTTATAATACTCACTACCAATCTTTTAATTTTGGTAGTGAAAAGATTCACTACCAAATCTTGTAGATATTTTGAGTTGGACAATTCAAATTGAATGTTATCATTTACATTAAATGCCATACACAATACTGTGTATATAACTCACTTCTTACCATATTTAGCTACACAATAAGTCCCCTTAATAATCTTTCATACAAATCTCCTAAAACACATCATAAACACTTTTTTTTTTAAACATGTATTTTAACAATACAATGCGTAGGGTATGCTTCTCAATAAGTCTATAACAGGAAGGGAGAAAATTTTCAATTCTATCTTTTGACACGTTTCATGAAACGGAAAAAGATTTCTTTGCTGGAGATATACTCACTTTCATATGATTTACATTTTTTTATTTATCTTTGATAAAAATCAACAATGGAATATCTGTGATCATAATTTAACCGATTATTAAGGATATTATGTAGTCAAAAGTACACTATATCTATTGTAAATACTATCGTACGTAAGTGCAAATTTGTTGGAAAACCAAAAATAAAGGTATTTTACGTCATAGTACAAAAACATGCATATGATTGTAAGTCATGTTTACACTGAATTTACAGTGTATAATGCATCCTTGTGATATAAGATATGGGTGGACAGATTTTTATTAGCACAAACAACTTGTACGTAAACAAACATGCATCATTGCACACAACAATGTTTTCAAACAATCTATTTTCCTCGATGTGTGGTTTCGTTTATAATGCACTCATTGTAAATAGAGATGAAAAGATTTATAAACGATAGATTTGTTTTGTATCAGATATGATTTTTTTTCAAGATTATTTAAACATGATCATAGAATATTGTACACTAATGCTAATTATAACAATTATGATAAAAGTCATGATAAAAAAAAATATACCTCTATGAAGTTTTCACAAATAGGGGGATTTGTTTTTCTTGTTTAAGCAATATTATTAACCAACATGATTTAAGCAACATTAAAAAAAAACTTTTTTCCATAATTGTATCATTAGTCGTATTTGCAACAAGATATTTTCAATATTCTTTTTCTTTATATTTAAGAATATCCATGAGTATCTGATAATAATAAAACCTTCATTATTGCACACTAAAACCTCTACACTAATACTAAGGGTAAACGAGTTGGCAAACAACAAAAGTCGTTGTCAGCCAGTCCCCAGTCTATGGGTAGACTAGACAGGCCTGTTGTGGCACACCTACACATTCTGATTCCCAAACATAATCTATAAATCTATATCTAAACTAGATATTTTCACTTAGATTAAATAGAAATATTAAAATCCTTTGATGTTTAATTGCAAAATTAATACGCGGAGTATAATTTAATTCATGTGTAACCCCCACCCCGAAAATGGGTCGATCCTTTTCCGGCCGTTAACAAGGTCGCCCAGCCCGTTATGTAACGGGGATCAGAGGGTAATCCGCTCAAGGGGGTTCACCAGTTTCGAGTTGAAGTAAACAACTTCTGCGGTCGATTCCATTTACAGAGTTTAATAGGTTCGCCAGCTTGCAAATACATTTGGCATCGTCTGTATTAGGGATTCACGATATTCAAGCACTTGCCAAAAGTTTTAACATGGGAATACTGTACACATTACATCGGTTAATAATTACTCAGGTAAATGAACTTGGGATACATGAACAAAACACACATACTAGAACAATGTATTACTACTATCAAATTTTACATTGTTTAGCTACAAGAAGATAATCCACAATCATAATATATATATTTAAGTACAAAAAATAGAATATGTTCAATTATAACATACAATTCATGATTTTGAAAGAAAAACGCTATACCAACCTGCTTTCGCTTGTACTTGTTTCCCGAATCAAACTTGATTTTCATTCGTTCGAGAATATCTTGTAACTTATCCTTCCCGTCTTGATCTTTTGCGAGGAGGAGGTAGGACCTCCAGTTAGCCGAGTCAAACCCCCAATGACAAGTTCTATTTTCTAGGGCTTTGTGAGAATGACACACAAACTTCTGGGTACTAAACGATCCCAAACAATCCACACATTGGATACATTTAGAGTCGCCATTAGTATACAATTCCGGGTTAAAAATGCCTTTGCACTTTCCAAAACACTCGTGATAGACTTTGAAGCTATCGGGCGAAGGGGGCTCGTTGAATTTTTCCGGCGTTCTATGTAGCAAAGCATTACAAAGACGTTCAGCATCGGTCTTAGTTATAAGTCCACAGCTCGGTGCGTTTAGGGGCAAAATCCCCGTCACCTTCAGAATGTGAAGCTGCTCGGCATTGCATCTCGAACAAAAAATATGTAATTCGTCACAAACAGCGTTGATTTGTTGTAAGCTGAACTCACGTAATACAGTATTTAGAATTTGTGGTAAACACAACCTCTTTTCACCTCCTACTAAAAAACAGGCAATTCTCTCATCCTCGAGTAACGTTTCAATTTTTTCACTTTTACTCGGCGTGTCCACAGGAGTGAAAACCGGCATCTGCTGGATAGGGAAAGGGGGAGGGGGTACCCTCAGAGATTCAAAATCCACACCCTTGTCCGATGGAAGTTTCTTTACGAGGGCTTTACGGTATTCCTCAAGCTCAGCCATGTCGGAGGGCGAGAGCAGGCTAGGAAACCCGCCCGGTCCTGGTCCCTGTAAACTCCTCATTGCAGTCGTTTGAAAGTTTTTTAGAACCCGCTGTACATGGGGATTAAGACCCTGATGAGCGAGGTGTTCCATCAAAGCTTATTTTCTGTTCACACAGCATTAAAATCCCACTAGGTTTCTCTCTCTTCGTTCCTTGTTGTCACACATGTAGTCTATGCGCACCAATGTCTCTCGGCCGAATAGTTGGCTGTTCCAACCACTGCGCACACACGGTGTATTATGACCTAATTTAAGTCTCAGGCTTTCACGTTGTCGCGTCTGGTTTTCTTCTATCCTAAATCAAACTCTATATCATGTTAAAGAAGTTTGACGAATGATATACAGCCGTTTTGTGATGTAAATGGACGAAATTAGGAAAATACGGTATGGCCGTATGTTTTGATTAATGTCGCCGTTCTTTTTACCTCCCCCGCACAAGTCTCCTTTAATAAATTTTAAATTGGGAGTCATTAACATTTTATTTTGAGAAGCTGAATGCTTTTTTAACTTTATAAAATACTTATTTCAATGGACAAGGGCTTTACAGTGATTACATGACAAGATAGGTGGACACTTGGGCGAAAAAAATAGGAGGGCATGTTGGTCGATGTGTCTGGCGGCAGGCAAATGAACATTCAGTCGTCTAGCCTAAAGTGACGTCATGTCGTCTACCGTACTTATTGATAAAGAGCCGACTATAGCCTATTTCATAAAAGTACTCGGACAACGCGGACCGCAGCGATTCTCTCCCTTGTCTAGGTAACTAAGGCTGATCTGTAACAAACGAAAATATGTCTCTAAATAGAAACGTTACGTGCATTAGATTTTTGCATTTTCTTTGTAAAAAAATAAAGAAACATGAAAAAATGATAAAAGCCGTATACTCTATATTATAAACCATTGTCTTTAATACCGTTTTTAGAAATACTCTCTGTCGTAACTTTTAGGTTTATTTCTACCACGTCTACGATGTAACAACTGTCAAATAATAGCCATCCACGTGTAGTGCTATTCCTAAATCCCCTCCCCCCCCCCCCCCTTTTTTTTTTATTAAAGGCAAAAATTCGAGTCATGGAACTGGTTTGTTTTGTCGAGTGAGGGTAGCGCCCTTTTTAGTTTATATTTGAAGATTTTCTAACGAGCAAACAAAAAGGTTTCTATTTAATCTCTAGATCTATTAAAAATCTGTCAAGTTGACGATCAGAATTTTCCAGCGAACTTCCTACGAAGGTAACTTGAAATAGGTTATTGTCTGCCATGTGTCAATTTTATGAATTGACGAGTGATAAAATCATATTACAAATGACACATTTACTATATCTATGCTGATTATTGTCAAATGATCAAAAGGGCCTGATACTGCTAGCTTAAATTATATGCCCTAATATGTTAACAACATAAATTTATTGTAATATATTTGTATAATAATTTTGATAATTGATGTTTAATTGATGATTGTATTGTGATGCTCTATCATTATAATCTTCATTCTGGAGGAAATAAAGGAGTATATAGTTATTTATGTACACATTAAAATAACGATACCTTTGTACTCTTTCAATGTCCATGTATGTATATATATGTTAATTCATTCTTATATGTAACTATTCTGTTTATGTAATCTTCATTTTGGAGGAAATAAAGGGAATAAATAAATACCCAAAATTGAAGGCGAATTGTGCCTATCTGTTAATATAAACTTTATATAGTTCTTTTTCTTTTTCTTTTACAGCTTAATATGAAGCAATACACAATTGTTAAAATTAGATTTGGAAAAAAGTTTTACATCTTATTATAGATCCATCTCCAGTTAAAGAAATACTTATGAGATTTGAGGACCACATGAATTATGACTTATAATATCCGAGAAAGAAATATGCAGCAATGCATTGTGTAAATGATTAAAAAACGGAAAATAGGGGAGGGTAGGATAGGAAAGAGAAGGGAAAGAGAGTGCTCAGATAAAACCTGTGATGAATAATGGTAAACAGCTAAGTACATGGAGAATGTCACTGAAAAAAACAGGTATATATTGAAGTAGAAGAAAAACTTGAATTCAAATCTTCGAGAGGTGGTAATGAAATTTTGAGTACAGGAGAAAATGCATTTCTTCATCCAACAACTCATCAACGCCAAACAGTAGTCATCGAATTGAAATTGGATGATTTGCCTTGTGGTGGATTTTTACAAGCCATATAAGAACTCCTCTCAACTTAATCAGGGTAAAGGGACACCACAGGTATCTTCATCTGATTTGTCAAAATGTGAAAATATGAAAATGTGAAAATATGTGAAAATGTGAAAATGTGTGAAAATGTGAAAATTTGAAATAGACTTCTCTACCCTACTATGTTGTCGGGTAGGGTAGACTATTTCATATTTGCACATATTTACATATCAGATAAATAATGCCTTACTGTAGGGTCACGCTCATGCAGTGGGCACGAACACGTTTCTTTTGACCTTATTTCTCATATATTTACGATAAGTCAACAAAGCTAGGATAACCGTTTCAAAGTTTTTCAAGATTGAAAAAAACAAAACAGGACAAATTCCCACAGGATTAGAAACTACAAAAACGCACAGCTTATACTAAAATTAGGTCAAAGGCATCACGTGACAGATGTCTGCACGTGCAAAGGTACAACTTAATAGAAATGGATTATCTAGGTCATGTTGCATAATATATGTTTATAAGAAACACATATTTTCGTTAAATTTTAAGTAGTAGAATAGATATAATCAACATACTGTCGGTACCTGATAAATAGTAATCCATAATATCGGGGTTGAAACAGAATCACACTTTCCCGTACATAATTTTTACATTCACACAATCCCAGGCAGCCACACACACACACTCGTGACCGGGCATAAACATATATAAAATCCCAGGCATAAATATTATCACAATTCTCGAAATTTCAAAATTATGACAAACCCAGGTACGTGCATAAACACAATTTTAATATAACCATATACTCACAGGCATCACTGACCCCGGGCATAAATATGGTCACCCCTCCATGGCATAAACACACAATGTAGTAACCCAATTCATGGCGAAATGTTACCGTACAATTCCGGGAATTTATATATTAACCTTGTAGTTTTGTTATCACTACCCCAGTTCTCGTTGTGAGGACGTGACATTACTTGGTTTCGCCATAGATTTACATGGCGGGTGTCATCGATGAAGCAGAAGACGCTAACCCTTCCGGAACACATGGTCTAAATCTCCCTGTATCAAATGTCATCATGTGAATCTTAATTTTGTTCATATTTGCCCTAGTTTTGTCGATTTTGTGTTAGAATCATGATTTTGTTGTATTTCGGTATTTTCTTGTTGTGTTTTTACGCCATCCTGTGTATAAATATCATCTCGATATTTCCGGATTTCAAAATTATCACAAACCTCCGGGAATAATAATAATCCCACAATCCCAAACATTTTACATATAACTATAAAATCACTGTCGTCATTTAATCCCGGGCATAAATATCACCGCCAAATTCTGGGTATTAATGCCATCGCAGTATCGGACAACCACACAATATTCCCAGAATCATAGGTACTTGTCCACATCCCTAGCCTCTTGCTTCTAGCCAGACAAATTAAAGTACCATTTAAAAGAAGACTTTAATAAACTGTGTCAAATATGTGTGTTGCCCATAATATGTATTTTTTATATGTATGCCAAAACCTTTTAACGTGATGAAGAATTGACACTCATTGTCTGATTCCTTTAAACGATTTTGGACATCTTTTAATAGGTAAGGTGCGAACAAATTGATTCATCAAAATAAACACATGAACTCATTTGAATTTATCCGTAGAAAAGAACACCTTCTCCCTTTTCTGGACACTTGAAATCATTTTAAGGAAAGATGCTCTTGACAAAATTTCAATCTCAGCTCTTAAATAGATATATGAGCAAAGGGCTGACAGTATATAATAATTATGAACGAAAGAAAATCCGGAAATCAAACAAAGAATTGAGCAAGGAAACTTCTGTAGCCCAATCGGTTAGAGCGATAGTTTTCCAGCATGGAATCAAAGGTTCGAATCTGGGTCTAGCACCGCATTCTTTTATATTTTGTTTACTGCATTTTTATTATTTCTCATAAAGGTATGTTTTTTTCCTTTCAGAAATAATTGCAAAGCTATAATCATGCGGGGAAAACAGTTTCCAATCCTTATTTCCAGTTTGTGGTAGTGGTACGGGGATCCCCTTTGAAGTACTTACAATTAATTTATCAGTGAAGTCTATTTATTAAAGCAGGGACTTTTCTATTCATATAAGCTCTGCGCTTGGTCCCAATATGAAACGCGAGATTAAGGATCCTCTTACCACTGCAAAAAAGGTTAATTACGCATATAGGAAACCGTTTTATTTTTCTGACATGACAATACCTTTGATGAATCATTTCTGAAAAGAAAGCCATACCTTCTGGGACTTTTATGCAAAACAATAAAGATGAAATAAAAAAAATATAGTCAACAGTAGTGTTCTGGGTGTAAAACGTTAAGCGGGCTTGACCCGGATTTGAACCCTGAACGTCAGGTTGTTATACTATCGCTCTAACCGACTGAGCCACCCGGTCAACGAGGACACACTGCCCCGACTAGGGCAAAACATGAACAATATCGAAACCAACGAAAAAAAAGTACAAAAAGAATAAGACCAGGTATTCCACAAGGGTATGCGTCTTCTGGTTCATTGAAAACAATCGCCATGTAAATATAAGTCCAAGTAATTTCACTTTCTCAAACGGAAAAACAGGGTAGTGACAGCGAAATGATAAAGCACACTCATGAGAATGATCAAAACGTCAACATTTATTTACATTTCTACTGAATTTGGACTCAATATACCTACTAAACATTTTAAAGGTTATTTTTCAATGAACTTTTCAGTTGGCGTATGAATACATCTGCATATTATCAACCTGATTACTCTGTTATTACGCGAAGCGCTGGAAGTGGTTTCATTAATAGATTGTTATTTTTTTGTAAGAAGTTTTTAATTGAAATAAAGAAAACTAATTTACATCTTAATTTGTTTTTTCTTTGTAATCAATGAAAACAATCTATTCATATAACCAGGACGATGTCTAACAGTGAGTGATGACATCACAAGCTGCGGTACCTTCTGTGGTGTTTGACTTGCACAAGACCGATATTTTAAAAGTTATCAAAAGATATCAATATGACACTGAATGTAAATATGAGGATTGAATCCTGTTTTGTTGAGGTTTACGGGGTATAAACCTCATGCAATGAGTCTTGAGACAAATTCAATATGAACTGCGAAGAAACAGTTCATATTGAATTTGTCTCAAGTCCCATTGATGTTTATACCCCATAAACCCCAACAAAACAGGATTCAATCCTTAATCGAATTGCAAAAGGAAAATAGAATATTCCTATGAGGTCACGATGGCGACCATGACACATACCCATATAGCACAGACCTTACACAGGGGTGTTTACCAGAGTTTGCAATACCGACTTGTTCAAAGCGTTCATATCAACTAAAACATGGACTTTCCATGGAGGTTTCTTTCAGGAAGTTGCTAACAAGAAACACAGATAATAAGACACTACATGGGAATTTA